AGGTAATGGCAATGCAACCATTGTTCAAGATGACTTCGACTCATCTAATGTTCTTGTGGTTTCAAGTGGCGACTCGAGGAAAGAGTGGATTATGGATTCAGGTTGCACTTGGCACATGACTCCAAACAGAGATTTGTTCGAGGAGCTATGTGATCAAGATGGTGGATCTGTGCTGCTGGGAAACAACAAATCTTGCAAAATTGCAGGTATTGGATATGTGAGATTCAAGCTCCATGGTGAGTCAATAAGGTTATTGACTGAAGTCAGGTATGTACCTGACTTGAAGAGAAATTTGATTTCTCTTGGTGAATTCGACAGAAAAGGATATATTTTTCAAGGAGAGAAAAGTATCCTAAGAGTCATGAAGGGGTCGAAGGAAGTCTTGAGAGGCATGAAGAAACAAGGCTTATATACCCTTGAGGCTGAGGTTGTAAGTGGCTTGACAAATGTTGCATCCACGAAACTTATGTCGAAGACAGAATTATGGCACATGAGATTGGGCCATGTTAGCGAAAGAGGCCTGGTCGAATTGGGGAAGCAAAACTTGCTAGGAGGTGACAAAGTCGAAAAGTTGGAATTTTGTGAATCTTATGTATTTGGTAAATCCTGTAGGACGAAGTTTAACAAAGACAAGAAAAGAACACATGGATCCCTGGATTACATTCATGTTGATCTTTGGGGGCCTGCAAGGAATCCTTCACAATCAGGTGCAAGGTATTTTCTATCCATCGTTAATGACTATTCCAGAAAGCTATGGGTATTCATTCAGAAGACGAAGGATGAAACTTTTGAGAATTTCAAAAGTTGGAAGATTCTGGTCGAAACTCAAACTGGCAGAAAGGTTAAGAGGTTGAGAACCGACAATTGCCTTGAATTCTGCAACGAAGCGTTCAACAATTACTGTATTGAGTCTGGGATTGCAAGGCATACGACTGTAGCAGGTACTCCTCAACAAAATGGCTTAGCTGAGAGATTCAATCGAACAATCCTATGCATGTTGGTTAGTGCTGGATTGAAGAAGGTGTTTTGGGCGGAAGCTGTTTCGACAGCAGCTTACTTGATAAATAGATGTCCCTCGACTACCTTGGGAATGAAGACACCTGAAGAAGTTTGGTCGGGACATCCACCTAGTCTCAACAGACTGGGAGTATTTGGTTGTGTGGCCTATGCTTATATTAGGCAAGACAAGGTCGAACCTAGAGCTCTGAAGTGCATGTTCATGGGATACCATGAAGGAGTCAAAGCTTATAGGTTATGGTGCCTAGAGCCAGGTCACAGGAGGTGTATCACCAGTCGAGATGTAGTTTTCAATGAAGCAGAGATGGCTTTCAAGAAAACTAATGATGCTGACGAAGAGCTGGAACAAGAAGAGATTCCTGTTGAGGTGGAGCATGTTGATGCTGAATTGCTTACCCCAGATGAAGTCGAAGAAGACGCAGAAGATGTTGTCGAAGATGAGGAGACTGATAATGACTACCTACTAGCAAGAGACAGGTCAAAGAGAGTTATCAAGCCACCTCAGAGACTTGGGTATGCAGATCTTATAACTTACGCCTTAATCTCTGCTAGTGAGGTTCTAGATGAAGAACCTAGAGACTATAAGGAAGTTATGAGAAGTCGAAAGAAGACTGAATAACTGAAGACCATGGATGATGAGATGCAATCTCTTCATGATAACAACACCTGGGAACTGATCAAGAAACCTGCTAGAGCCAGGTTAATCAGCTGTAAATGGATTTTTAAAGTTAAGGAAGGAATCGAAGGAGTGACGTCGAAGAGATACAAGGCAAGATTGGTTGCTAGGGGGTTCACTCAGAAAAAAGGTATCGACTTCAATGATGTGTTCTCTCCTGTTGTGAAGCACAAATCCATTTGAATGTTGCTTGCCATGGTGCCCTAGTTCGACCTTGAACTGGAACAGATGGATGTGAAGACTGCGTTCCTGTATGGTGATCTAGATGAAACAGTCTTGATGAGGCAACCTGAAGGGTATGTCGAAACGGGGAAGGAAGATTATGTGTGCAAACTGAATAGATCTTTATATGGACTGAAACAATTTCCTCGACAGTGGAATAGGAGATTCGATAAGTTCATGGCACACATAAGTTTCATCAGAAGCCAGTTCGACCACTGTGTTTACTTCAGATTTCGCCCGGGTAATTCATTTGCTATTTTGTTGCTCTATGTGGATGATATTCTAATAGCAAGCAACAATGTCGAAGAGGTAATGAGGGTGAAGGCTGAACTCAATAAAGAGTTTGACATGAAGGATCTGGGAGCTGCGTCCAGGATTCTTGGGATTGACATCTGGAGAGATAGAAAGCAGTCAAAATTATGCTTATCTCAAGAGGCATACCTACAGAAGGTTCTCGAAAAGTTTGGTATGTCGAATTCAAAGCCTGTTGTGACTCCGACAAACCCTCAATTCAAGCTGAGTGTAGATCAGTGTCCCATCACTGATGTTGAAAGAACTTATATGAATAGCATTCCATATGCTAACATAGTAGGCTCTTTGATGTATGTTATGGTCTGTACTAGACCCAGCATAACATATGCAGTAAGTCTTGTAAGCAGGTACATGGCGAATCCTGGAAATGCTCACTGGCAAGCATTGAAGTAGATTTTAAGGTACATAAATGGGTCTCTGAATAGAGTCCTAATTTATGGTGGAGCCTTGAGTGAAGATAGTAAAGCAGCAATCGAAGGATATGTCGACTCTGATTATGCAGGTTGTATGGATTCTAGAAAATCTATCTCTGGATATGTGTTCACTATGTTTGGGACAACAATCAGTTGGAAAGCAACACTTCAGAAGGTCGTTGCCTTATCAACCACTGAAGCGGAGTATATTGCCCTAACTGAAGTTGTGAAGGAAACATTGTGGCTTGAAGGTTTTGCAAATGAGCTAAAACTTCAAGGTCGAGTTATCACTGTTAAATGTGATAGTCAAAGTGTAATACACCTGTCGAAGAATTCAGCCTATCATGAGCGAACCAAGCACATTGATGTGAGGCTGCATTTCATCAGAGGGGTAATCGAGCGTGGAGAAGTCCAAGTGTTGAAGGTTTCGACAGATCATAATGCTGCTGATATGATTACCAAGACGCTGCCCAGTTGCAAGTTTTTCCACTGTATGCAGTTAATAAAGCTGCATGAAGAAAACTAGTTTCTTGATGTTATAGAGTTAGATCCAAGGTGGAGATTTGTGAGACGTTGGATGGAACTCTAGTGTTGTCGAAGTCTGTTCGCAAGTAATGCGTGTTGTAGTCGAAGTTTGTTCTAACATGCATTAGTCAATATTGCTAGGGTTGTTAGCATGTTGAATTTGGCCTTGCTTGTAAGCCCAATTGTTTAAGTTAGCTTGTACCCTAAGTTGGCTTGTAATGGGTAATTGTTAAAAAAAAAACATTAGGTTAGTGTGATATTTTTCTTATAAATAGGATGCTAGTTTCTCAATCTTGAAATAAGAAAAAATAGGAAGATAAAATCTTAATTTCAAGGGAGAGAGGTTATTTTGTTATTCTTGTATACTTGTAATCTTGCTCTAAGAGAAAGGAAAGAATAACAGTTTAATAACCAATCCTCGTTGTTTTCTTCTTTATTAACCCAAATCCTTGTGTGTTTCTTGCTAAGAAACCGTTTATACTTTGTTTAAAGGTATCCAATTCACAACAGTATCCATGTCCGCTGTGATTCAAATTTATTTTTGTGTTGGACCCTTTAAAAACGTGTCAGATGCGTGTCGTATGTGTGTCATAAGCGTATCTGTGTCGGACAGTGACACACTGTGTGAATGACGTGTCGGAGCTTCATAGTTATGAACTAATAGGATGATATAAATTATTCCTCCGTCCCACAATAAGTAACTCGGTTGTTTTTTCACACAGATTGAGAAAAAGAAATAAATGAAGGAGAGAAAATGATATTTCACACAAATTTATGATGTATTGAGAATGATGAAAGTAATACTAATTAGAGGATAAAATAGAAAAAAATGTATTAAAAATTAAAATGAATTCTACATTTTGAGACACTATTTTATTTCAAATGGATCACTCGTTATGAGACAGAGAAAATATTACTTTAGAATATATCAAACAAACAATTGAAATAAAAAGAAAAAAAAATAGGATGACATCTCTTAAATTTCTAAAAAGAAAAATGATGTATCCTTCTCAAAATTTCTGATTGGTTATGAGAAGGAAAACGAAGAGTTCTAAAAGTTAGTTTGATCTGAATGGGTGTTCTGCAGTACTTGTGATTGAGGAGGAATGATACTATGTTTAATAATATTATAAGTTCTATTGATGATGTCAATTATCAAATTTATTTCTTGGTATTAGATTATTATTGGTGCCAACCATAGAGTTAATTGTAGTTTTTATGACGGGTGCAAAATTCCTCGTGACTTTATTAACTTTTTTATATGAATTTTTAAATTTTAGTAATTAATTTTTAAAGTGGGGGTATTTTAAGACTTTATTTTCATTTTGGGGCCATCTCCATCAAAAAGTCTAGTCTAGTAGTGGTGGACAGTATCTACATATGTTAGTAGAGTTACGTGTATTTTCTAGATCAGTCATGGAACCTTTGAGTTGTTTTGCTTATTAAAAAATAATTAAGATTACATGAATTTCTTATTAAGTGGTGTACAGTATAACATATTCCTCTATTTATATAGTTGTTTCCACATTCACCAAACCAAAAAATTTCACAAGAAACGAAGCAAGAACAACAAGTATGTTACCTGCACCTTAGTCTTTCTTTTTGTAACCCATTTAAATTTTCTATTTTATTTAATTTAGCTGCTTAAAATGCTGAAGTTATTTGTTGGATTTGCTTAGTGTAACAGTAATAATTTTAATTGTAATTCATGTGATTAAACTGTTCACACATTCTAAAGTACATAAAGAGTGTTTATTTTTCATTCTTATTTTATGTTTTAGTTTTTTTCTTCTTCTGAAATTCAGCTTTTTATGATGTTAACAGCTACATGTTAAATGGAAGATTTTTGGAAAATGATTTGTGACGATTCTTCTTGCTCTTCACTTGGAGGAAACCCCTTATGTTTCGGTTTCGAGGTTCTGAAGGATCCTTCTTCATGCATCAACCATTTGTTGATCATTGTCCTTGATGTGTTGTTTCTAATAATGTTAACATTTGTTATAATCCAAAAGACTTTGTTGAGGCCAATTCAAGGTCAGAATAGAATGGAAAAGTGTTCAAAATTGCAGCTAGTTTCTGCAATAACCAGCTGTGGCTCTCTCGGTTTGTTGCATTTATGCTTTGGCATTTGGGTTTTAGATGAGAATTTAAAGAAAAATATTACAGTTTTTCCTCTAAGTTTGTGGCTGCTAGAATTGCTTCAAGGATTAACATGGATGTTAGTTGGTTTAAGTGTGCTGAAACAACTTGCAAAAACATGGTTGAGACCATTTTCAATTCTTATGTTCTTTGTTTCTAGTATTTTATGTGCTTTTTCTTTATCTTATGCATTTAAGAGTAAAGAATTGTCACATAAGGCAGCTTTAGATGTTTTATCTTTTTTGGGAGCATTTTTGCTACTCTTTGGAAGTGTATATACCCCCTTAGATAGTCATGTTCATGACAAGGACTTCATTAGCCATAAAAGTGTAACCCCATTTGAAAAAGCTGGAATCTTTAGTAGGATGTCGTTTTGGTGGTTGAATCCACTCATGAAAACAAGTCAAGAGAAAACACTTCAGGACGAGGACATCCCAAAATTACGGGAAGAAGATAGAGTAAAAGTATGTTATTCGTTATTTATAGATCAATTGAATAGACAAAAGCAGAAGGGCTCGTCATCACGATCATCAATTTTGTTGACAATAGTTTTATGCCATAGGAGAGAGATTTTGATATCAGGGTTCCTTGCATTTCTTAAGGTACTCACTCTCTCTTCTTGTCCAGTACTTTTGAATGCCTTTATATTGGTGGTCGAGGGTGATAAAAGTTCCAAAAATAAAGGTTACTTGTTAGCCATCTCAATTTTGTTTATAAAGATTTTAGAATCTCTATTTCAAAGGCAATGGTATTTTCGGTCTAGACTTATTGGTATGAAAGTTAGGTCCTTAGTTACTGCACTCATTTATAAAAAACAATTGAGGTTATCCAATGCTACTAAATTGATTCACTCTAGTGGTGAGATAATGAATTATGTGAATGTCGATGCCTATAGAATTGGAGAACTTCCATTTTGGTTTCACCAAACATGGACGACTGTCCTCCAACTATCCATCGCCTTAGTAATTCTTTTTCATGTTATTGGACTAGCAACAATTGCATCATTGGTGGTGATTGTTTTGACCGTGCTTTTAAATTCTCCACTAGCAAAGTTACAACATAGGTTTTTAAGCAACCTTATGTTGGCTCAAGATGAAAGGTTGAAGGCAAGTTCTGAGGCTCTAGTGAATGTTAAAGTGTTGAAGTTATATGCATGGGAAATCCATTTTAAAAATGTTATTGAAAGCCTAAGAATTGTTGAGCTAAAATGGCTATCTTCAGTGCTATTACAAAAGGCATATAGTCTTATTCTCTTTTGGTTTTCACCTATTTTGGTCTCTACTGCCACCTTCATGGCTTGTTACTTCATGAAAGTTCCTTTACATGCAAATAATGTTTTTACATTTATTGCAACTATGTTCCTTGTGCAAGAACCTATTTCAACCACCGGAGATGTTATTGGAGTGATCATTCAAGCACATGTTTCCTTTTCTCGGGTTGTGAAGTTTCTCGAGGCTCCTGAGCTACATACTACAAATGTTAGAAAGAGTTGCTATGATGAGAAGTTAAAGGGATCAATTTTAATCAAGTCTGCGAACTTTTCATGGGAAGATGATTTATCGAAGCCGACAATAGCAGACATAAATTTAAAGGTTAGTGATGGGCAAAAAATAGCTATATGTGGAGAAGTTGGCTCAGGAAAATCAACTTTACTGGCAGCAATTCTCGGAGAAGTACCAAATACAAAGGGGAAAGTAAGCTTTTATTCCTTTTTATTTATGCTATTTGACAACATTCCTAAACATTATTAAACTTTAATTCTTTATAATTAGAACACACTGGAGTGTATTTTCAAGTTTTTTATTCTAGACGTAAACAATATTCATTTGTTTCAAATTATCTTTTGTAATTTATAGATCGAAGTATATGGAAAGTTGGCATATGTTTCTCAAACATCATGGATACAAAAAGGAACAATACAGGAAAATATTTTGTTTGGATCATCTTTGGATGTTCAAAGGTATCAAGAATCAATTCGTAGGTCTTCACTAATGAAGGACCTTGAGTTGTTTCCATATGGTGATCTAACTGAGATAGGAGAGAGAGGTATTAATCTAAGTGGGGGCCAGAAACAACGAATTCAACTTGCTAGAGCTCTTTATCAGAATGCTGATGTATATATCTTGGATGATCCTTTTAGTGCTGTGGATGCGGACACTGCAAAAAAATTGTTCAATGTAATGATTTCTTCCATTCTTAAAAAAACTGAAATTACATCATAATTATCATTCCTAATTGAAATATTGATTTGAATCATGACAGGAATACATATTGGAAGGACTTGCTAGAAAGACGGTTATTCTCGTGACTCATCAAGTTGACTATCTCCCCACATTTGATTATATTATGGTAATTTCTTGTGTCATAGATGTATTTTTTGTCCTTGTTTTCTCTACTAGTATAATTGCAAGATTTTGATTGACATAAAATATTTCCACCTTCTTGTACTATTTTAAGGCTTTTAAAAGAAAAATGTTTAATTTGGTCATAGTTTTTCATCTCTTTCTCCTTACTTATTCGATCATTTATACCAACAACTTGTTAATATATATTTCCATTTTTCTCACCACAGTTGATGTTAGGTGGGAAAATCCAACAAGCTGCTACTTATCATGATCTACTAACCTTTAGCCAAGAATTTAAGAACCTTGTTAATGCACACAAAAAGGCAGGTGGCTCTTACCATCTTGCAAATGTTACTTTATCCCCAATACATTCAAAGTCTAGAATGGAGATGAAGCAATATTTCACAGAGACGAGGCTTAATATTATAAGCAGTGATAAACTTATTAATGAAGAAGAGAGAGAAATGGGAGACATGGGATTGAAGCCTTACATACAATATCTCAACCAGAAAAAAGGCTACATATACTTCTTTATCAGTTCACTTTCCCACTTAATGTTTATAATTTGTCAAATACTTCAAAACTCATGGATGGCTACTAGTGTTGATAATCCTCAAATCAACACATTGCGATTGATTACAATTTATTTGTTGATTGGAACTACTTCTACAATTTTTGTTATAATGAGGTGTTTATTTGTAGCAGCTTTAGGTTTTCAATCATCAAAAAATTTATTTAGACAATTAATAAATTCTCTTTTTTGCGCATCAATGTCTTTCTATGATACCACGCCATTGGGAAGGATACTAAGTAGGGTAAGCTTATTAAACCATTTTTACCCTTGAAAGGTAATCGATGAAAAAATATTTTTGATTGTTGTTTAACTTGTTTCCATATGCAGGTCTCATCAGATATGAGCATTGTGGATCTTGATGTCGGTTTTAACCTCACATATTATGTAGCATCCACTATAAATTATTGCGCAAGCCTAATAGTTTTAACATCTATTGCTTGGCAAGTCTTGTTTTTGTGTATACCAATGGCTTATGTTACTATTCGTTTACAGGTAAATGACATATTCCAATTTGAATCATACTGAAGTGATGAAATGGTGAATTGTTTTTAACAAGTTTTGGAGGATAAAAGACATAGTTTTTAGTTACACAATCATCATCCTTATTTGGAAAAAGAAGGTTGATATGTCTGTTTTATGCAACTAAGTTTGAAGTTAATGAATGATAAAAGGAAACAAAGGAGTATAATATTCTTAGTTGTTATCTATAATTAATATTCCAAAACTCGAGTATGAATAATCCTGACACATCTTTATCAAGATACAACTCTTTATTTTTTATTTGAATAAAAAATTGAAATGCAGATAATTAAATTCTTCACTTGATACTAGAATCTCACGTGTTATATTACGAATTAACTGTCACATGATTCAATGTGTTGAACCAAGATAGGTGAGTAGTTTTTAGTTGAGATTGTTCAAAATTAAACAGGTTGTTTTTATTGTAATAGAGACACTACTATGCATGTGCAAAAGAACTTATGCGGATGAGCGGCACAACAAAATCCTCTATAGCTAATCACGTAGTTGATTCTGTTGTTGGAGCTTGGACGATAAGGGCTTTTGAGGAAGAAGATCGTTTTTTTAACAAGAATCTTGATTTAATTGATGTCAATGCTGGTGTTTACTTCCACAATTTTGCTTCAAATGAGTGGTTGATCCAACGGTTAGAAGTAATCTATGCAGTTGTTCTTGCATCTGCGACACTTTGCATTGCGATGCTTCCTATAGGGACTTTTACATCTGGTGAGACATCAATTATTATTAACTTTCCAAAATCATTGTTTGACTTTCCTTATAATTATGAAACTCATATACCTTTATCATCAATGCATTATATCTATTATGCAAGGTTCTTATCTTGAATAATAAATGATCCAGGTTTTATTGGTATGGTCCTTTCTTATGGTCTTTCATTAAACAAAGACGTAGTATATTTAGCTCAATACCAATGCATTATAGAAAATTATATAGTATCCGTAGAGAGGATAAGTCAATACACTCACATACAAAGTGATGCTCAAGAAGTAATTGAAGGAAATCATCCTCCGCTTAATTGGCCAAGTACGGGAAAAGTAGAAATAAAAGACTTGAAGGTAATTAGCACTTTTTTTTTGAAAATGTAGAATATTGTTTAGGAAAAAATGTAAGATGAAATTAATTACATGATATCTTTTTACCATGGCAGATACAATACAAGCCTAATGGACCTTTTGTACTACATGGTATCACATGTACATTTGAAGGAGGGCACAAGATTGGAATTGTTGGTAGAACAGGTAGTGGAAAATCAACTCTTATAGGTGCTTTGTTTCGTCTTATGGAGCCGACAAGAGGAGAAATTTTAGTTGATGGAATAAACATATCATCTATTGGCCTTCATTACTTGAGGTCAAGTTTTGGTATTATACCTCAAGATCCTACCTTATTCATTGGGACACTTAGATATAACTTGGATCCCTTATCTCAACATTCCGATCAAGAAATATGGGAGGTAATTAAAATTTCTATATTTAATTTTTTAACTTGAGAAATATGGATTGATATTGTCTTATGTACAAAGGTTCTTCGAAAATGCCAACTACAAGAGGTTGTCAAAGATAAAGGTGGCTTAGATTCCTCAGGTACTTTTTTTAGCTCAATATTCTAATGCTGCAACTAAGTTTTTTGTAACAACATCTTTAAAATATGAATTGACTTATTATATAGTTGTTGAAAATGGAACAAACTGGAGCATTGGACAAAGACAACTTTTTTCTTTGGGGCGTGCTCTTTTAAAGAGAAGTAGGATATTGGTATTAGATGAAGCAACTGCATCAATTGATAACGCAACTGATTTGATTCTTCAAAATACCATTAAGAAAGAGTTTGTTGGTTGTACAGTCATAACAGTAGCACACAAGATACCAACTGTGATGGATTGCGATATGATTCTTTCCATGAGTGATGGTATGTTCATATTGATTTTTCAAATAATAATTGGATTAAGGCTTAAACAATATTTAACACTTTTAAGACAAAAAATATATAGGAAAAAATAGTGGTTGAATATTTACTTGCTTCCTTTTAATAAAATCAAATGTTTGATTATATTTATAGGAAAATTGGCTGAGTATGATGAACCGTTGAAGTTGATGAAAAGAGAAGGATCGTTATTTGGAAACCTTGTAAGGGAATACTGGTCTCATTTTTAGTTTGCAGAATGACATTGAACTGGAGATGCATTTTATTTCTAACATGAGTGTGAGTGAAATGATTACAGGAGAGTAAATAACCATAAATAACCACAATATCATTGTTTTTAAGTCATTGCGGTCGTGATTAAGATTTCATAAACTATATTTGACTTAGGTAACTTTTATTGTGTTAGTATATTAAAACCTTGTATCATGTCTACAAGCCACCAATAATACAGATACAATGTGTGTGCAAATATTCAACTAAGAGAAAAAGCTATTGAGAAAATTCTGTCCTATATTGATTTAAGATATAATCTTTTTTTTTTATAAAGAATTATACCCTTCATGGTATAAGAAAGTTTTTTAAGGTTAACTTACATCATCTCAAAATTCTATGTTGTACCCTCACCTTAGAATCGTGTTTTGGAAAAAAATTGAAGCAACATATTATATTCAAAACTTGACGTAGCATTATATACAAATGAAATTGAGTGTCATGATATCATGAGTTTGTATTTTTGCTTATTATTACTTCAACTTTATATGCAATTTATTCAATTGCATAACATTTATCCTCTTTAACTATTGCTTTTATTTGAATGGAAAATAAATATGAGTACATGAATTTATGCAAAGTTATAAGCGTAAAATCAGTTGTAGTAAATGGTGCCTACAAAAATTCACAAGTGTTGAGTAAATATTATTGATCCACAAAGCTTGTGAATACTATATCAAGACGGAAGTGATATAATTGCTATTGGGTGACAAACCATATAATTGTAAAAGGGGGATGCCCGTTGCGTGATTGAGTTTGTTGTGCAAATAATTGTAAAACTAACTAACTAAACTAACGATTTAGAATTCTAGTCAGGAAAATAATTAAGTCCCCCATTCAAATCCTTTTCACTTTATATGTGGTTAATCGATACTTGAACCTATAATGATTCTACTTATATCATGACTATTTTATAAAATAGTTAGAAAATATTTCATCACCACGTAGTCTACTTCACCAAATTACAATCCTCCCCTAATGACCTTGGGGGATGGTGCAACCGATGATGGTTTGTTCAAACATTAAATATATAATGTTACGTGTGATTATGTCCTATGTCTAATAATCATTAACAGACCTATAATATGTTTTAGTTTCAATACTCAAATCTACAATTAGTTGTCATTGCTATCAAGATTGATCCCCAATTCTGTAAATAGAAAAAAAGTGTTAAACAGAAAATAATATTGAATAACTATAAACATATCATTGTTATAGAGAAAAAATTTAAACAAATCACATGGTTCACATTATTTAGAAAAAAAATTTAAACAAATCACATGGTTCACATTATTTAGAAAAACTTCGTTGGAGGTTGGGGGGAGGGGCTATATAGAGAAAGTAGGCAAACATCCCTAAAGGATTCATTAAAGAGAAATCCAATATTTGAATATTTTTCGGCACATACTCAAAAGTTTTGATCGATGAAATTTTAATCCTAAACTACCACATATATTATAAAAAACAATTCAATGATGTGATAGATAATCTAAATTACTAGTCTTTAATTCTTGTAACTTATTCCACTAAACAACTCCTAGATAGAAAATTACCTGATTATTGTACTCTTTTATACCAAACATATCTTTTTATTTTTTGTGCTCATGTAAGGGATCTTGTCTTACACGATATTGTACTTTTTTTTCTTCATGTAAAGCATATAGAAATGTACTTGTAAAATTATTTCTTAGATGTCTCAAACATGAATAAGAATACAATTAAGTTATTCTTTTCAAGAATAAACTTTATTGATTATTTTCAAATGAACAAAATAGAGGTTAACAAATTGATCTTCTTCTAGAAGATCAAACTGTTGACTTTAAACTTGTTGTTGAGTAGAGAACTATGATGAAATGAGTACATAAGACCAGACAATAACGTTGTCAACATGTACTGCTAGGCACTAAAGCAAGTCATCATGATGCATGTCTAGAGGATGTTTCAAAAAATTCAGTATCAAGATGTTTAAATGATCACTTGTTATATGATATCTTTCACACTGTTAAATTATTTTCTTTTGACATATGTTGTTGTTTAGAGAAGAAACTTAGTCTTAATTGTGATGGCCTAATGACCAACATATATTGAAATAAACATTTGCATAATAGAGAAATACAACATGAGTCGAACCCATAATTTCACATTCAATATCTTTACAACCAAACCACTCAAGTGTAACGACATGGATAACATAGACAATCGTAAGATAATATGATTTTTGAGTCAAATTATATTAATTATGATGAGTTCTATATAATATTATTTGATTATTTCAAATTAAAATAAATAGATTAATAATATCTTTTAATATACTTTAAATAATAATAATAATAATAATAATTTTAAATTAAAAATAAAATATAAATTTTTTATAATAGGCGACACTTATTTTATAAAGGATTTTAAATATATTAACGTATTTGAGAAAAATATAATTCAAAAATATGTATTCTTTTACTAGATCAATTTACAATATTTACTTCTTTTTTTAATGCCAAATAAAATTATATAAATAGAAAGAAGGATTCCTCCAAAAAGAGAGGAAAAGGATAAGGATCTGCACAAAAACCAACAAAAACAAAACAAGGAGAGATATACAAAAACTGCAAAACACCTTGGCCACGGGATAGATAAAAACCTCACTCACCGAGGAAAAACCAAATGAAACACCAGCAAAAACCAATAAAACAAAAATCATAATGATTTTTACCGTATGTGGGACATAGAGCCTACCAAGAGTACCAGAGTAATTTAGAGTGTTTTAAATTATTTTATTAGCATTATTATGGATGGTTGAATTTTTAGTAGAAATTATTATGATTTTTATTTATTTAAAATAATAGAGAAAATGAGAATGACGCTTCGGAGAAGAAAATAGAAACTAATTAAAATTGAGTCAGTGAATAGAATTATTAAGAGTGGAGGAGATTATTAGAATTAATAAAAATGAAAAATATGGTTTTTATTTAAATAGAGAAGGAAAATAGACCGAGGGAACTGTTTGGTGAAAGTAAGTTGTTAATAGAGTAAGAGAAAAACCTCAGCAGAGCGAGAGTAAGAGAAGAGTCTCCATAGCTGTAGATTCAAAGCTTTTTCGTGAATTTAAGGTAATAGGAAATTGTTCATGATATGGATGTTTACGCATGAAAGATAGAGAGGATTCCTTATCCTTTTTCCTTTTTCCTTTCCTTTTCCTCCATTGATGAAGTTGTTGAATCTTGAGATGGTTTGTAAAAAATCTCTCTAGGTTGATGTGATATGTTGTTGTTTGTGCTCTGTTGATTGATGATTTTTGTATACGTAATTATGAGTTTGGATATTCATGTGTATATGTGTCGCGTCGCTGCGAATAGGGACCGGTAAAGACAGAAGAGTCGTCACCGTTCGTTATTTATCCCAAAAATAGGGAAAGAAAACGATCAGAGAAAACCTACGAAAAAGGGAAAAGACAGGTCATCGCAACAAAATCTTGGGTTCGGGAGTCGGTTACGCAAGGGGAAGGTATGAGCACCCCTCACGTCCGTTGTACTCAACGGGATCCACGCTTGTTGTCTACCTAAAAGGGTGTTAATCTATCAAAGGATGCCTCACAGGGACAAAAGAAAAGAAAAGAGACTCAATAGAGCATCGTCGCTCTATGCCTACGTATTTCCTCGTGCAATGGGAAAGTCAGAGGCAACGTAGTTCGGAAAACTATGGGTGAAGGTGGGGGAAGGTTGCTCGCCAAGACATCGTCGTCTTGTGCCTACGTATCCTCATCTGGTATGAAAAATCATAGCAAACGTAGTCCGGGATGACATGACCACTGGTTGGTTCAAGTGTTTTAACTGAGTAGGGTTAAACCTTCATTCTACCAGTTAGGTGTATTGTTGCTCGACCATTGGAAACTTAGGCGTTACATGTTTGCGGTAGAACCAAGACTTAACACACTCTTTCTGAAAATGATTTTCAAACAATCCCGAGGGATAAAAAGGCTTGATGTTTTGTTTTGTGTTTTTTATGAAGAAGTGCATTGAGTTAAGTTTGTAACTCATGTTGCACTAAAGACTATGACTTGAGAGCGAATGCGTCGCATATCGCCCAAGAGGCATATGTAACACCCTTCTAAACCCCACGAAAAAATAAGCATTATCAGAGTAAAATTAACATGCATTCACAAAGGGCGTCACACATACACTTCCAATTTACTAAAAACCATCTGTCATGCTCAATAACACTGAAATAAATAATCATACTTTACAAAATTTCATTTGCATGTAGCAGCGGATTCATTTATATCACAATTTTTCATAAAAGAAATATTTGCATTTACTATATAAATCAACATCACTTAGGCACTGAGGCCAACAACACGATATACGTCTGAAACGTAACCCAAACGATCCCAGTGTTACACGACCAGAGCACGACTTGACCCAATACAATTGAATCACTAAACAGCTACACCAATAACGACCTCGCAACTACGAGCAGTACTACACCTTGATACCTGCACGATGTCATGAAGGACATCATTCCAGCAGAAGGGTGAGAAATATTATCATAATAACAATGCATATAATCATATATAAATGCACAAATACAGAATACATATGTTCCACATTTTCTCACCATAATACACTATAAACGTCATATATGTCACAACATACGTTCACCTAATTAAACACATTCATCAATTCACATAAACACACACAACATGTTTATTCCACCAATTCACATAAACATTTATATTCATGTTTATTTCACCAATGCATCATATAAAGATGATAATGCAACTCATAGAGACCGACTCATGACTCTATGCAGATGCAAATGCGGTACCGACTCGTTCAGCAGGTTCAATTGAAGAACCAAAAGGAACCATCGCTCGTTACCGAAGTAACTCCCCGTCGGGCCTACGACGTTCACCCATCGCTCACACCCCACATGGGCACACGTTGTTTCAGGATTGCTCACACCC